GGTGGTGCGAGGCGGCGCGCGTGGGCGCCGGCGAGAGGATCCCGGCCAGCGTGGTGGCGGCGGCCGAGTTGTTGAAGGCGGCGTGCAGCCCCACGCCGCCCGCCGGGGAGTTGGCTTGCGCCGACGAAGGGTGCAGCCCGCCCCCGGGCGTGCCGCCGCCCGTCGCCCGCCGGTTGTGGTGCCGCGCCGCGCTGCGGGCAAACACCTCGTTGGCCGGCGCTCTAAGAGCTCTTAGAGCGCCTTCCCACGTCGCGACGGCAGCGCGCTGTCGTCAAGACTCGCGCTACGCGAAGCGGAGGGGGGACGCGCCACCGCTAGCAGAGCACAGCTTGAAATGGGAGCCTTCCCACTGCGGCCGTCGGTCGCTGCGTTCTACCTGCTGCGGTCCCTTTGTTCGACGTCGCCGGAGGGTCGGCAAAGAGCCCTGCCGATTGACGCACGCGCGCTGCCGTGGCGGCGTGGGAAGGCGCTCCAAGGCACACTCTCTTGGACGCGCGCTACACGACACCACTAGCAACTCTACGTCCGTCTCTACCCTACTTCCCACACGTTACTATTTCTAAGTTGCAAGTAGTAACACGTTAGAAGTCAAGTGTAAGAAGTTGTAACACGTTATTATCAACGCTTTTCCGTAAAGCAAATAAGACTATTCTTTCACTAAGATGCCACTACTTCCAACAGTACACTACTATCTTCCACTACTTCCAACACTAATATTTCAAATACTAAACTACTCCCCACACTATGTATTACTTCCATCACTACTCGCATTTACTTTAGTCTTCTGTTCTCAAACTCTCTGGCTTTTGAGAAACCTTTAAAATAAAATTAATATTCTGAATATTTAAAATTCTGCATATTAAAAATCCCAAAGGAAACAAATAAATAATGTAAAATATGTAATAATACATTATCAAATAAGTTGTTTTCTTTCAGTTTATTTCCAAGATCTACTACTGAACTACAGATGTTTTGTGAAATTGTAAGGTTCCAACGATTCCCGGTTGAGAAACGCTATTGAGACCCACAGTAATGCGATACTATTGATCGACATCAAGTTGTGGTAATTTCCCTATTCCTTGCTGCAGTGCTCTAGTTCGAAATGCATTGTTTCCGTTGCTACTTCATTTAAGATCGACCAGGGTTTCTCTTACAGCAAAACGTGCAGACAAAAGATCGGACTTGGTCAACATTATCGCATGACCTAGAACACGATCAGCGTGCAATGTCTGCATAGATTTATCCCACGTTTTACTGAGGGCAACCAAGGATAGGCGATCAAAGGAAGCATTCCATATTATTTGCATTGCTGGGAGAGCATCCAATGATTGCGTAGACAATCGAAAAGAATATTCTAAACACACACGCGCACGCACACACACAGCACACACACACACACACACACACACACACACACACATATATATATATATATATATATATATATATATATATATAATGTGTGTGTGAATATAGCTAATTACTGAATATAAAAGGATTACATTCAATTTTATGAACTCTTTAAATATTAAATGATTTAACACCCTCTTTTTTCTTTCAGTTTCTAAAATGTTAATTCTAGTTTTCAAATTTTAAATTATTAGTAATCTATTTATTCTAACTCTTTTTGACTCACGTTTTAAGATTTTTTTCTTGTACTAGAAAACTGATGATGATGATGATGGCTAAGCCATTGAATGCTGCTCTTATAACACACAATGTTGTTGGCAATGATGACTAGTATTATTATTTCATTGTAAATGACAACAAAACCTCATCACAACAACATTATAAAAGGACATTTTGCAAAACGAACAGCCGTCACGCATATGCTCTATTGTTGGATAGAAGATGTCAAGATAAGGTAGATCCGTTTCTCAAGCACAATCGTTCCAAAATCGTCACAATAATTTCAAGCACATCTCTCGCTGCACATGCAATTCTCTACAATGGACATGCTCGGGGGAGAGTAAAGACGAGCAAGAGGCTATTAGCATGGGGGAGTTGAAGCGAGAATGCAGGAGAAAGGAATGCGAACGACGGTCGCGAGAATGCTAACTCGCCGGAACGCAGTCGGACGTGGATTCGTGGCTGGGGACGAGGGTTGGGGCAGGACGTGGTGGAATCGTGCCAAGGCTCAGACGCAAGACGATTCCTCGATGGGTAAAGAAGCGTGTCTGTGTGCGAGAAGGAACATGGGCGTAGCAGGAGAAAAAGAACGCTCGACGAATGCTTTCCAGGTTTAAGCGCAGCGACAGGTGCGCTCTTTCAAGCAATGGAGGACGTTGTGATGGAAGAACGTAAGGGTAATATGAAACTCTTTTCAGACGAACCTAGATTCGATCATGTGCGAGGAAACGTATTTGGAGACTGACATAAAGGAGAGAACAGAGGGCAAACCGGAGAAGTGTGTTGAAGTAAAATTCAGTACGCGAGAGGAGATGAACATGAGTAGTAGCTTGAAGGTGGCAATGAGGATATGATCCGAGGTAATCTTGTTGCCAAGGGTAGGGATACTTTTGTCAAATATTGAATCATGCAAGGAGGAAAATTAAAGAGACTGATATGGGAAGTAATTTGGTGACGAATGTGGAAACGATTGCAATAGTGGGTGAAATGGTAACTTTTCAGGTAAACATGGAGAACTTGGTGACAAGCAAAGCTTGAAGGTGGATTGGAAGAAAATGTTGGGAGGAGGGAAGTGATGTCGACATAAAGTTGATCTTAATGTTAGGCATGATGGGAGGTATGGAGAGAGAATGGAGAGAGCACGGATTGCATACGGAAAGAGAAGAGGGTGATGGGGAGAGGGCATGGATGTGGGCGTTCAGTTGGGCGTGTAGGTGGGCACAGAGGTCTGGTTGGGCGTGTAGGTTTGTAGGCATGAGTGAAATCAGGCATCAAGGCGGGTGTCGGAAGCGGGGGTCGGAAGCGGGTGTCGGAAGCGGGTGTCGGAAGCGGGTGTCGGAAGCGGGTGTCGGAAGCGGGTGTC